GGGTCCTGCATGTCCAGTTCATATAGTACAGCATCAAGTTCAGGAAAGAGCAGTTTCTTGACCAAATGGCTGACAAACTCCGTAAGGAGCCTCTTTGATGCCCATCTTCCTCTTGAAGTAATCGGTGCTGCCAGGAGCAGATGTGTATCATTGTCATGAAATGTCCTAAGTTCTAAAAGACAATATCAAATGCCATATTCTGTAGTCTTTGACAGATCTGAAGAATATCTATTCATCTGAAATACATCTCTGTACGTCTAGAAAACCTAACCAACATAATTACAAGCTTGACTATTATTTATGATTATCTATTAACCTATATTTCTTAATTATACATTACATTTTAAAATGAGCTGTACAAACACAATAACTTAATCAAGAGCAGAAATGGACATACAACCAGATTGATCTTAAATCTGTTAACAATAAACTGAGATCCATACCAATGCAAATTTTTCATATCTATAACATATCCTCCTTTAACTGTAAACAAACATATATAAGCAATATTTGGGGTGTAGTTTTCTCCAGTCTGCTTCCTGCTTTTTGTTGGGTGAAGTATTTTTTTTTGGGGGGGAGAAGTTCATGGTGACCTTGCTGGGTTCTTGGTGCATCAAACCACATTAGTCTGGAACAGACCCATATGTTCTCATCTTCTGTGGAAACAAAAATAGAACCTCTTTTCCAAAGCAACATATCCTTAGACCCAAATTTTGAATTCAAGATACCTTTATGTTGCACTTAGGAGTTCATACAATTAAATGTCTCTCATAATGTAGCTCTTTACCAGTCAAAAATTCAAAGAAAACACAATAACATACATAGTCCTTATTCTCTGTGTATATTCCATCTTTACATGGCTTATTTTTCTTACTCTATTACTTTTTCTACGAGTTTAATATTTATTTTATCATCTTTCCTCCTTCAATTTATGACTGTCTGTACTCGTTTTATTGCATTTACTCTCTCTTTACTCTTTTTCTTCTCTCTCCCAAGCCTACATACATTTTATAAACACAGTGTGTCTCATTTAGATGTCTTTTATGTCTGAATCTGTCCTTATTAAGTATCTTTAATCCTTTTCTGACCAGGACAGCTTCTTAAAATGCTAGGCATTTCTTAAAATCCTAAGTGACAGTGTTACTAGGGCAAATATGGCCCTGCCTGCTTTCTCCACCCAGTCCAAAATGGAAGTCTGTTCACTCACTGCCTCTGAGACTGCCAGGTGTGAGCCATCTTCACCACCTCAACTCTGATAACCAGTGTGCCATGCTGCCACCAAGTAACTTGCAGCACACTGCCCACAAAATCCATTTAAATGCTTGCTCTCCTGAAAGACTCAGAGCCATTTTTGCTGGTGAACTAGGAAGCCACTGTTTTGAAACCGTGTGATTTTTGCTGCTATGGCTGAAATCTTCTCTTAAAAGAATTGTGCCTCTGTTTGCTTCTAGCAAACAGAGCCCACCTGAGAAAAGTGCTTAACTTTGTTTTTGTGTGTGTGTGTCTGGAATTCCTTTTATAGCTTTCTCAGGTTTTACGAGGATTTAGTCGACCACATTGGTACACCATTTTGTTGTTAGCGAGCCACTTGTTTGTTCCTGGCTGCTCAGACCTGAAATAACCACACAGAAACTATATTATTTTCAGTACTGTTTAGTCAATGGTTTAAGCTTATTTCTGGCTAACTCCTTTATCTGAAATTAACCCATCTCCATTAATCTGTGTATTGCCACATAGCTGTGGCTTACTGGCAAATTTTGGCATGTTTGTCTCTGGCTGCAGCTCCATGGCTTCTCCTTGACTCTGCCTTCTTTTCCCCAGCATTCAGCTATCTTTCTCACCTACCTATATTCTGCCCTGTGCAGGCCTAAGACAGTTTCTTTACTAACCAATGGTATTCACGGCATACGGAGGGGAATCCCACATCATGGCTTATTGTACTTAAATAAAGTATTTTTTTCCTTTATGAAATTTATTCTATCATGTGTTTTTGTTTTCATTTTCATATGAAATTTAAATTCTACTTATAGGTATTCACAAAAATATTGAATTTATAGTTCTATGTGAGTCACCAGAAGTTCTAAGTGATTAAAGCTATCAACACAGTTATGTTTTATTTATCTAATTTAATTTATTTCAGGGTTATTGCATTATTTTTTATTGTACCCATCGAGCAAATCCTGTGTGAATTTTTCCAGTGTGTTTCCTGATATTTTGTGTATATTATAAATGGAAATACTTTTGCAAATTTAGATATTTTACTGTTTTAAAGCATGGGGTTTTTTCATTTCATTATTATTTTAGGGTTTTTATGTTTTAGAATTTTCTGTGTACTTATATAGATGATATTCCTTCTTTTCCAATCCTTGTATCTTTTATTTGGTTTTATTGAATTTACTCATGAGATTATCCAGAATACATCTATATTTATATCTATCTATCTGTTCTTTTAGTGAACTACAATTCAAATTCAGACAAAAACAGGAAAAGTGGAAATGCTTCTCTTTGTCCAAATTGTGGGGGAAATTGTTCATTCTTTTCAATATTATGGGGTATTTCCTAATATTATATATATTTTGTTTTTTGAGACAGGGTTTCTCTGTGGCTTTGGAGCCTGTCCTGGAACTAGCTCTGTAGACCAGGCTGGTCTCGAACTCACAGAGATCCGCCTGCCTTTGCCTCCCGAGTGCTGGGATTAAAGGCGTGTGCCACCGCCGCCCAGCCACTTTATATTTTTTTAAAATTAAATTCAGATAATGTTCTTATTAAGTAAAATGTTTGGGTTTTTTATTTCATTAGAAAGGACTGTTAAATTTAATCAAATGCTTTTATTAAGATGACTATGTGGTTTCTTCTTTTAATACAGTTCAACTACATTAATTGTCTTTTAAGTGTTTGAATGATCTGTCACTCCCAGGATAAACTGAACCTGCACATGTTCTATCTATACATACATAGTTGGATTATGTGTGCTAATATATTTTTTCTAGGAAATTTCAATAACAAAATTATGGTATGCTACTCTCTTTATACAAAATGGGAATATTTTCTACTTGTTTTGACACAATATTGCCCAGGAAGCTGGGAGGTTCTTTTGTCTTTCTTCCTAAAGAAATATTGTAATTGTATCTCTTTCTTAAACATTTGGTAAATTTGACCAGAGAGGCCAGCTGGATCTGGAGTTTTCTTCAATAAAAGGGCTTACATCTTAATTTATTTAATAAATTTAAGAATATTTATGGTTTGTGTATTTTATCAGTTTCTCTTGTCTTAGCAATAAGCATTTCAAAGAATTTCTTCATCCATCAAACTTAATGTTACATTGCTCAAGTATCCTTATGACCATGTTAATGTCCTATCACCTTTCATTTATTATAAGATTGATTTCTTTTGTTATCATCTAAAACTGCATAACTAAAATGTTACTGGTTTTACTCAACTTTGAAATAATCACCATGTGTTTAATGCATTTTTGCTTAAATTTCATTTCATATTTCTATATTTCATGTTATTTATATTCCTAGCCTATTTAATGATTTTAGCTAGTTGTTTTGCTAATTTCTTAAAGCACAAAGATAAATAAATTTATAATTTTAATGGCAAAATATAGGACAGCTATAGGCAGCCAACTTTGTTTTAATTCTTGTAACAAATTTCAATAAACTGTTTTCATTATTATTTGGTTTATATTACCTTTTAGCTTCTGATGCCAGTTCTTTCTTAGTCCATGGATTAATGTAAATTTATCAGTGATTTCTCAAATACTTAGACATTTTTCTCATCATCTTATTCTTTATTTTATTTACAACTTACTTGCATTATTTCAGGTTACCACTCTCTTGACTTATCGCTGCACCACCCAACAACTTTGGGTACCAAGTTGTTTTGTTTTTAAATTTCAATGTACTACTAGCAATGTAGTACATATGAAATAATGGGTCCTCAGAAGCTATTTGCTGAGTGGAACTAAGTTGGATTTTCTTCAATGCTTTTATGTGGCACAAGATCAATGATTTAAATTCCTAATATGGAATTTGTAACATCAAACAGGCTAAATGGTGCTTAATAAAATCCACAATTTCAATATTTGATAGACTATGTATGGTTCCTTACTAAAATACCAGCATAAAACAGTAGGACATAAATATTTTTAAATGACATTAGTGAGGACAGTTGTTGGAAATAAAGACAAATAGAGTGTACTGATTTTCTGTAAAATTACCTACGGGATAATTTCAAAATCATTGAGGAATTATAATTTAATGTAAACATTTTAAATATGGAAGTTATACAAAAGCAGGGTTTGTATAGGCACAACAGAAAACAAGGAAGCCATGCACAGTGTTATTTACAGCAGCTCTAATTTATTACTTAACTATCTCCATGATCATTTAATATTAAAATTTTTGGAAAACAATATATTGGGAAAACAAATAAGTTTACTATTAAAGACTCAATTGTTCATTACCTCCGAGTTAGTGATAAAGCTATATAATGACTTTTAATTAATTTTATTTTTTTAATGTTTTTAAAATTATATTTTGCACAAATGCAAAGATAATTATGTCCTCAAAGTTTAAACTCTATAGTTTAATGGATAGAGAAGAGCCAGATTCTAATTTGGTTGAGTGACCTTCTGAACATAACATAACAACTCTGAACATCAATTTCCCAGTCTCTAGCAGAGGTAAGAAGTTTCTTTGGTCACAAAATAATGCAATCACCTAAAATGTTGTTGATGAGAGAAGCGTTCAAAATCACTGTTTTAAAAATGAATTATCATTAGTCTTATGTGTACATTGTCATAGAATAAGTGATAAAATAAAAATGGGAAATATTTGCTCAAAAACACCTAGTTTAGAACTTGTTATCTATTTATATTATACATAAACTACAGATACATCAAAATTTATAGAACATATGGAATTAAGATACTTGATGAGAAGACTAAACATAAAGATTTATAGGAATTATTGCATGACTTTAGGCAATCAACCATGTCATTGTTTAAATAGGAAGCATGATCTTCTGAATATGATCTCAAAAATCTCAGCAACACACAATACCATGGTGATTACAGTAAAAGTGTACATTGCAATGAGAAAAATAGTCTTTTCAAAGTGTTCTGGAACCATGCATTTTACAACATTTATTTTTTTACCGAGGGATTCAGCATCACACAAGTATAGAGGCTTCACCTGGAAGCCAAAGAGGTGAATCTGAAGCCAAAACGCCACCACCTCCAGGCTGATCCTTAACAAGACCGAGAGGATGTAATTCACAGTGTACGCAGGCTTTTGAAGAATGCATTCTTGATTGATGCTTTTACATGCAGCATAAAGGTGGAAAATAGCTCCAGGAAGCAGGACAACCACTAGTTGTAATGCCCAGAACACCTAAAGTATATCAGAACTATTTTAGTCAACTCAAATAAACATGTCACCAAAAACACATGGAAAACTCACAGATTCAGAAAGGACTAACCTTAAAATTCTAAGTTTCACAAATGCCTTATAAAAATGAAAATATAATAAACGTAGTAGTGTTTACATATATCATTTATTTTCTAAGATTTTAGAACTTTAAACATATGGCAATTGGAAAACATGATCATATTTTACTATCACTGCCTGCTCACTAATGATAATGATGAATTACCTGATTGTAATAGCTGCTTAATGTCTTTATGCTCAATATACCGTTAAATAACAGATTACTGAATTTGAGTGTACTTTTTATGGACCTCAAGTTACATTTCCTCAAAGATTCAGCCAATGAAAGAGTAATTCTCAAAACTATAGGAGAATAAAAATCTATATGTGCTGGGGAGTCAGTGTTTGCATCCACACTGGAACACTTACCTGGGGAGTTATTGGCCTGAACTGATTGTAACAGAACAGATTTATCTCTCTTTTGTCTGGCTCACAGCTGAAATGCAAAGCCTCGTTCCCGTAAACTGCAAAGCCCAGCACTCCAAGGAAGAACATCCTCACAGAGCCGAAGAAGAGGGTGTGGAACTGGCCAACCACAGTTGGAGGTTTAACCTGTTGGTTTTGGAAGGGAAAAACTGGATTGGAAAAGGAACATTTGGAAAGGAGATTTTGAAGTATGTTTTTATGATCACATCAAAAAGCACTTTAAAATATTAAGGTCTGAGAAGCTTTGAAGCAAGACAGATGCTTTAGATTATCAAATTGACTGTAGACCCTGCAAGAGTTCTGTGCTGCTTCACTCTTCAATTATAGAATGCAGTAGTCAAACCAGGCTCTATTGGCAATCAAACAGGGAAGTTTTGAAACATTTTAAATAGCTTTCAATTCAATGAATATTTCTTTCTCATGTAATCTCTTTGAAATAAAACCAGAAATCTTACAATGTCTAATTGCCCCTATTGGAAGATTAGATTATAATACAATATTACTCTTAGGATAAATACTATGAAAATGACAGAACAGTATTTACTTAGGTTTTTTTTTTGCTTCCCATACTTAATATTCAATTAAGAGTGCGAGCTACTTTAAAGCATCAATGGATAAAAGCATCTCCAGGATTAATCTATCTATAATTTTAAATTCAGACTATTTTACAGCACATTGTTGTTATATAAGTTATTTTTCTTTGTAAATGTACAGTTAATATGCCCATCAACACACATGCCAACGAGGTTAAAAATACACAGACAAAAATTTGTACAATTGAATTTCTTGTTTGTTACTCACACATCCTTCGTAGAAGTTCTTGATGTAGTTTAGAGACATTTTCCAGAAGATGTTATCTTGGCATCCCTGTGGGCTTTTGTTAAACTATGTTGTTAGTTTGCTTTACATTCTCTCTTGACTTGTATAACAGAAACCACCTATCTCTGCAAATTTCTCTTCCCTCCTCCTGTTTCTTTCTTTTTTCCTCAGATCTCTGGGACCCTAGTCAACTTTCCTATCTCCATCTCAAAATAAAACAAAAAGCAAAGAAACAAAAGCAGAGGGCATGTGGTTAGTCTAATAATCCCTTGGCTTGCAAGATCAGCAAAGCCAGCCAGTCAGTCAGCAAAGCAGGCCAGCAGACAGATGCCCTGAGCACTCAGGGGCCCTGCAATCTCTTGAGAGTTGCTTAGACGTAAATCGGCGCACTGTGTACTCTGGAGTGCTATTTGGTATGTCCTAAAGTACATGGAAACACTGCTGATATTTTCTAATTCACTTCCACAACATATTATTGCTAATTTCTAAGAGGTCTAAGAAATTCCAAACACGATGTATGGTGATTATTCCAACCCTGAGTATTATTAGTGTGTTGTGATATGTATCTTTTTGTTGAATATTTTATTTATCCTCTCAATAGACATTGAACATTTATAGTTTCAGCTGATATGTCTATAAGGTGTTTGGGATATATGGAAATATGGCCGTCCTTGAATTCAAAGGTTTAGAAGGATAAAGGAATGTGTGCAAGGTGTTTGGAGTGTATGAGAACATGGTAACCCTTGAATTTAAAGAACTTATAAGGATAGAAGACTGTGTGGGTCAGGCATGGAGAGATGGCTAGGTGAACAACTTGCTGCTCTTGCAGAGGACTGTAGTTCAGTTCCTAGAACTCCAACTCAAGCTCTATGGGATCTGATGCACTCTTACGACCTCCATGAGTATTGCTTGTATGTGGTGCACATATACTCTTACAGGCAAAACACTCAAATACAGAAAAAAATAAATCTTAAATAAAGAATATATAGCTATGTGTAGACAGCTGTGTGTGTGTTCATGCGTGAGTGTGTGTGTAAAATTGCAGTGCTTAGGGTTTGCTTAAAATGGGGCATGATTTGTATTTAATCCTTCAGAGTATGGTTATGAACTATCTTGTATAATTCTGTTTCTAGCAAACACGGGGAGATGATCTCAATATAAATTCCCTCTAGCATTTTTTGACTTTCAGTATTTGCATCGTGTCTTGGTAATTTACCCTTCTTTTCACATGATAGCCAATGACCATTGAATGGGGTAGAATAGAGATCAATTTAGAAAGTCACAATAGTGTGCTTCCCAGAAGGACAGCTGAGATAAGGCAATCTTGGATGGCTGCCTAGATTCATAAATCACGGTCCTTAACCAATTCATATCTCTCTGAAATCTCTGACCTGCCACAATTGGGTTTGTCTTCCTACATGAATAATTTATATTTTCTAGAATGGAATTTGGGATGGTTTAATAGAAAGGTCAATAACAGCAATGTTATTTTGGGTAAATGATTTAACCTTCTGAGGTACACATCCATTTCTCCAAAAAGGCAGGACTGGATACTACAATCTGTAAGTAATTTCACATTTCTGTGGTTTTATGAGTCTAAGTATTTATTACCATAGTTGCAATGATTGCTCTACTTTTGAGATTTATTGACAGTTATTCATTTGGTACCAGCAGTTTCTTGTTCTAAGAGTAGAATAGAAGGCTCTGCTTTCTGTCATTTCAGGGCATTTGTATTTTGAATATTCCTACACTGCCTGGTTTCATAACACACGTGACTCTTCCTTTTTGGATATCTCATTAATAGGACTGAACTCCAAGTAGAACATGGCACACAAATCCAGAAGACCCGAGACCATATCTCTTTCCTGCTGTTGCTGTTATTTAAGTTTCTATATTCGACCTTTAGTTTCAGTTTCTCCGTCTTTAAAATGAGTAGACAACTCTTAATGGAGATGCGATGATTGAAGGAACAAATGATATACTGCCTTGAGCAGTGTCTGGTATGTGCTTGGTTTCTCAATAAACATTTTAACTCCAGTTTTGGAGATGGATTCCTCATTCTATCAATTTATCAGAAATTATGCCAAGTAGGTAAAACTGTGGATTATTTGTGGAGGCCCACAGAACCCCCATGATTATTGTATCAATAAACATGATATTGAATCATTGCTTGCACTGAAAAATCCTAAAATTGCCAAGCCTGGATTTCCTCATCTGCGTGGAGCTTATTGAACAGCGTCAATTTGTGGATTTGTTTTACAGTGAGTACCAATAAAACATCAACTATTACTTCCTTAAATGTGTTGTTTTTTTTTTCCTCATCATCCCCCACCCCTTTGGGGACTGCAGTTACATTCATGAGAAACTGCTTGATTTGGTCCCAGTGGTAAGTTCTACAAGTTGAGTAAACCCTTCAAAGCTCACAATAAAATTTTATTGCTAGTGACAGTGTTAAGGGGTAGTACTTTAAATTACTATAAGTAGATGATTTAGTTATAAGACTTCTGTCCTTGAAAATGGATTGATGCCTATTGTGGGAGTGGGAGTGGGTTAGCTCTTTTGAGAGTGGGATTGGATAATAAGGACAAATCTCTGCCCAGTTTCCTCTTTCTGTGTCAGGCATACTTTCTTGGTTTTCCACCATGTTTTGGAACAGGATGAAGTCCCGTGCCTGATGCCAGATGCATTCGTTTAGACTACCAAGCTTGCAGCTGTGTGAGCCAAGTGCATTGTAATTTATGCAGTTTGTGGTCCATCAGTCAACCCTATCCACTCCAGAACTATAAAACCACAGATAAAACCTGAGCCTAATTCCTTATATATTTATCGCTCTAGAGAAGGTGGGACCTGGGAGAATGGAGCTGATAAAATGAGGGAGACTAAAGTCTCTTCCAATAGTAAACTTTATTCAGAGCATAGACAATTTTATATTCTGAAAGTTAGTGAAACATGATTAGTAAAAACTTAGAGACAGAAATTGGGGTTCAAACTAAAGGTCAGAAAAACAAAACAGCCAGCCACTGGTTCTTACCTCCACCTCAGTACAAAATGGCAAACCTGCCTCTAGGAATCTCAGAATGAGACTGTAAACGAGAGCTGTTTCCTCCTGTTTTATAATCCTCTCTAGTTCTGGGATTAAGAGTGTGCACCACTACCATCTGGTTTCTATGGCAATCTAGTGTGGCTACTGGGATTAAAGGCATCTGTCACCACTGTCTGGTCTGCAAGTCTAGCCAGTGTGGCTACTTCACTTTTCTGATTCTCAGGCAGGCTTTATTTATTAAAAACACTAATGAAATGCCACGACAGGTTAAGAAGAGTCAGATGAGTAAAACATAGAATCACAATGGCAAGCCGTATGCAGCAGGCAAGACTCACACAGCAAAAATGTGTTTGCCATGGAGACACATAAACAAATAACAATATCCAGGTGTAATGGATAACCTGATGTAAAACCACTCCCATTTTCTACACCTGGGAGGAACACGGAAGTATATTTCAAGAACAATTACTTCTTTTGAAGAAACTGAGGTCACAAGACTCTTTTTTTGTTTCCCTAAAGCTTTATCAAAAGCACTCAGAATTCTCGCCAACTCCGTTCTTGGACAATGTTCCAACACTTGCATACTGTGTATTTCTTAGATATAGTATTTAAACACGGTGTCTATGAAGAAATTTATAATGCAGGGAAAGTAAGACTTTCACAATAATTTCTAACCAAATAGAAAATTCAACAGTACCTTCAGATAAAGGTTCTATGAATATATAGCTTAGATATATTCATATCTATCATATATTGTATATATATATATATTGTATATATATATACTATTTAGATACTATATCTTCTAATACAATTCTATGAATGAAGCTGGGCAGTAACGGCACATGCCTTTAATCTCAGAACTCAAGAGTCAGAGCCAGGTGGATTTCTGTGACTTTGAGACCAGCCTGGTCTAGAAGAGCTAGTTCCAGGACAGGCTCCAAAACTACAGAGAAACCCTGTCTTGAAAGACAAACAAACAGAAAAAAAATTATGAATTTGTAGTCATTCTTCCTGTCAAAATATTGTAGAGTACTCGCTCCTCTTTACATGGGATAGTTCATCACCTAGATGATAGGATGCGCTGAGGGAAATGATTCAGGCATGTGACTTAGTGTTAGGTGCCCATGGCAGCATTATTCTGAGCATAAGGGCTGGGATATTGACACAATAACCAATCTGGTTGCATAGACAGCCACTAAGTGACTAAAATAATGATAGCATATGCAGATAAGGTACACCAACAGAGGGATGATGGACGTACAGAACAGGAAGAACTGGGGCAAGAAAGATAGCATTATGCGACTCTGTTTCTCAGTTTTAAACTTACAAACTGTTTCCCCGTGAAGTTTTCCATGAAATAGCTTTGGATAGTGTTTAACCAAAGGTAACAGAAATTGTGAGAAATAAATCCCCCAAAGGGGAAGTATTGCACTCTTTCATAGCAACAGAAAACAAGGACCTTAGCTGATCTTTATTTTTTTTCTTAGTATGTGTTATCTTAAATAGTTAACATATAGACTCAGGGGTTGGAATTTTTCATTTCAGACATATTTTATCTCTAGGAAGAGGTCACCAGTATAGTTGATATATTCTTTGTGAAAGGGGCTTTATTACAGCATTGTTATAGCCACACATTTATATATTGTTTCTTGGTTGCTCTTTGGTATAGAATAAGAGCTGGATTGTTCCAACAGCAATTATGTGGTCCATGAAGTTAAAATAATTACCATGTGGCTCATGAAGCAAAAGCTTACCAGCACTCCTGTGTCAGCTCTGCTGTAAAAGTTGAATTTAGGACTTTTAAAAGAATTCTCTTTCTTTTCTAGTAATTATGTTAATATATTTGTCTTTTCACTTAAACAGACAGAATATATTTTAGTAGCTGTTTAATATACTTTCTGGTTTCATGTTTTTCCTTTATAGGTCTGTTTCTGGTGATTGATTTTCTCAACATTAATTATGTGTTCTAGCTTTT